AAAGGAAATTAGAGATGGTGGCACGTGTCAGAATTCCCAACTCCCACTTCACTGCTTAGCTCAATAAAACAATGGCTTTTCCTACGCTCAGTTTCCGTTTTTCCTACGTTTGGTGTGACATCAGGCTCTAGACAACCTTCACTATCCTCCTAGAATTCTTCCAGAAAGAATTAAAAGAGTTGCTTTCTAGGGGTAATCTGTAATTTACAAAACAATTTTCATCCAACACAAATAAGTCTGGGGAAAAGTGTTTAAAATCCCTAGCAGAAATATTTCTTTCACAGATTTATAAATAAAACAAGCATTTAATAGTGGCAAATATATTTAACATTTATGATGCTTTAAAGATAACTGCCAATTACTTTTAAATTTTTCCCAAAAGATAATGTCCCAGTAGCAGCTTATATTTATGTTAAATTAACAGAAAGAGAGAAAGAGAGAGAGGAGAGAGAGAGAGAGAGAGAGAGAGAGAGAGAGAGAGAGAGAGAGAGAGAGAAACCTGTTGGAGGGTACCATAGTGTTCATATAGAGGTCAGCGGATAAACTTAAGTGGTGGCCCTTGCTGTCCACCTTGTTAGCCCTCATGTACTTTGCAAAATCTCTGAATAATGTCAAGGCTTTCATGTCTCTGGACCAGACATTTAGTTTGTTTTGACCTCATAATGAGTAAAACTGACAATCATCAATTTAAGATAAATGAACCAAGTGTTTCAGCTTATGGCCATTTTATCTTAAGTTAATTATATCTGGTACAAAATAAATCAAGATGTTCATGATTGCTTTTGCAAACATGAAGGTGTGCACATAGACTGCTTGAATTCATAATAACCTTTGTGCATGCAATTTTAAATTAATCATGCAATTTTAAATTAATCCCTCCCAAAACTATCTATTTAAAACAACCCTGGGGAAAAAGAGGAAATCTTCCATTTTTTATTTGGAATTTATAAACATGGACTTTTCCAACCTTGACAATTTTAATAATATTTTATTTGTGATAAAAGTCTTGTCTTGTTTGGTGCAGACAGGACTTCATTTAGACAGCAGATATCCCACAAAGGAGAAGCAATGCAAATGAATTCATCTATACAATGTGAGGTAGTTAGGAGCTGCTTTCCAGATTAACCTACCAGGAACTATAGAAGATACAGGATTTTCCCAAGACACTTCTCCATTTAAGAAGCAGTCATGGAACCTATCAGTATTGACTTTATCCATCAATTCATTGGCAAAATAGATTCTCTACTGTGGCCTTGATCCAACATCTACTCTGTCCCTGCCCACATGATTATTTTTGCCTTTGATGGGAGCCATCTAAAACCATCATATGCACTATTCTCGAAAGCCTCAAAACTAGCATACTGATATAACTAATGTAAATGTCATAATTTTTATTAGCGTGCTCAGGAAATTCAAAATTTGGCTAGAAGCATCAGATATGAACTTAATCTATATTGTAGCAAAAGGCTGTTTATTTCAGCAGTTTATTCAAAAAGCCACCATTTTTATTTAGGTGTATATTTCATTTTAAACTACATTAAAATTATTTCACAATCTTCCCCATTCCCCTTGACATTAATAAATACATCAAAAAAACAGAAGCGTACAAACACTAACTTCCCTTGTGTTATCTTACCTTGTTCTCCTACTGGGAAACCAGGGGTGCTATTTTTAGGGGACACCCTTCAAGATTCAGAAGCGGAGAGACTGCAGCCCTAACTCTCAGGTCTAGATTTAGATTTTTGTTTTGTTTTGTTTGTTTGTTTTAGACTATTTAGCAGAATCAAAACTCACACTGCTTTAAATTTCTTTAACCACATCTCCTAATCTTTGTAAAAATAAAAATTGTCGCAGTTTTTGTTACATTACAAAAACTTAAGCTGGGATGGGAAAGATGTCTCATATTTATTTACTTTTTAATTTAAAAAAATCTCTTCTTCCAATAGTGTTCAGAATCCAGGTTAATTATATAATGAAGGTGACAAGTATTCTCCATCTTCTTCAGGCTTCTAACACAGGCATTTAGGTTAAAGCTCCTCCCTGCCATGAAAAACAAAGGACAATTCATTGGAAAAGCAAGAAATGCTGAAATGAGTTTGTGCTGTAATATGTCACCAAAGTACAAGCTTAAACCCGCCTGTGTTACCCATGCTTCCTATCATTTCTTTAAAGATTTTTCTTCTGCTCTGCTAAAATTTAATATTTTTAAATTTTTAAAAATCCCTGCAAATACCATATAATGCTTTTACTAAGTCTTAAATTAAATCCATTAACATTTTCTGGAGCTAACAGGTGACTGAGAACTCAAAGACTAAGTGAGACTAAAAACACTTTGTTTTTAAATTTATATTTTTGTGGGACTGGTGAGATGGCTTAGCAGTTAAGAGCAATGGCCGCTTTTGCAGAGGACCTGGGTTTGAATCCCAGCATTCATAGGTTAGTTGAAAACTATCCATAACTCCTGTTCCAGAGGCTCTTACACCCTCTTCTGACCTCCATGGGCATTACACGATGGGTACACTTATATACATGCAGGCATGTGTGTTAACTCACACATGTAAAATTAAAATAAATTTAAAAAATTAAAAATAAATGAATAACCACTAAGCCATCTCTCCAGCTCTCTAAAAATGCTACTTGGATTATGTACCTATTATGTTTTCAATACCATCTACATTCTATGACCATCTCAAGTTTCATCTTGTCTTTTCCTTTAACCACTTTTCTTTTTTTTTTTTGAGACAGGATCTCCCTGTAGCCCCAGCTGTCCTGGAACTCACTATGCAGACCAGGCTGGCCTTGAGCTCATAGAGATCTGCCTGCCTCTGCCTCCCAAGTGCTGGGATTAAAGGCGTGCGCCACCACGCCTGGCACTTAACAACATTTTTAACCACTTTTTTTTTAAATACACACATGTGTATAACGTATCTTGTTCATAGCCACATGCTCCCCTTACTTTTTCTTCTTCCTTTCCACTCCCACTGAGCCTCTTCTTCCTGACAAGTCCTCCATTTTCATGTCTTTTTTCTGTGTATGTACAGCTCATTGCTTTAATTATGGAGGCTTGAGTGAGTATGAGTGGGAGGCTATTTACTGGAACATTAGCAACTAACTCATCAGTGGCTACTCCACTGAAGGGAACAATACTCCTCCCCAGCAGCACTTAACTGTCCATAGTCTCTCAGGATGGTTGGGGCCTTATGAGACCTTCCCCCCCATGCAGAGCATCCCTCTTAAAGCTGTAGGGTCTAGAAACACTTCCTTTTCTTTCAGAGGACTTTTTGTTTAAATCTTCTTTGTTTCATGGATTTTTGTGTATTTTAATGCTAGGCAATTCATCATATGGAAGCACGTAGTCACTATCCTTAATTAGGATGAACCCTTTCTTTAAGGATGAACCCTTTAACTATTTTGGCCTAGATTCGATGTATTTTATTTGTTTGTTGGTTGGTTGGTTGGTTGGTTGGTTGGTTGGTTGGTTGGTTGGTTGGTTTGGTTTGGTTTTTAGTTTCTTTGTTTGTTTGTTTGTTTGTTTGTTTTATAGGTTCACACTATACAGCTCAAGCTGGCCTCAAACTCCCAATTCTCCTGCCTCAGCCTCCCAAGCACTGAGATTACAGAGATGCATTGCCATATCTGGCTCCAATGTATTTTTAATTCAGGAAACACATTCAGACAGGTATGTCTGAAGGTCTTAGGAAATAATACAACATTCATGTTCTTTCTATTGGCTACTACTAGAATGGATCCATGGGCCATTTTCTGGCTGGAGATGCAGAGATGAATGGATATCTTGCTTTAAAAGTCAATTATTTTGCACTCGGGAGGCAGAGTCAGGCAGATCTCTGTGAGTTCAAGGCCAGTCTGGTCTACATGGTGAGTTCCAGGACAGCTGGGGCTACAGGGAGACCCTGTCTCAAAAAGACCAAAAAAAAGTCAATTATTTTTATTATTGGTGTGACAACAGTCAATAAGATTGTCAGCACCTCCTGGGAGCTAAATCAGGGGTTCAGAGATTTTTAGAGGCATCTCTACCATGCATGTGAAATTTTAGAAGAATCTTACTAAGTTTCTTTAGGTGGCAATGTGTTCCTTCTATCAGAACAGCCTGAGTGAAGGGCCATCTATCAGAGAACATGGACTTAGAGCAAAGTCATAGAGGCTCTGCTCAAGACCATGGGTGTTATCCTGAACCTTCTTTTTTAAAAAGACATATGAATTTCTCTGGTGAAAATGCCTGACTCAGGACCCATCCTTGAGGAAGCAGTGGACCAAATACCAACATCAAGTTTCAGTAACACTCATCACAGGTAACTAATGCCCGTAGGATCTCTTTACAATATAGTTTTTCTGTAACCTATGTCTTACTATAGATCTTGGGGGAAAACAGAATTATAGACATTTTCCCAAGATATATGATTAACGCAAATAGAGACAGAATGAAACTTGGTAAAAACAAGAAACGCCACTACTGAAAAGTATCTTCAAAGGTGAAAATGTAAGGTTGTGTTGAATTATAAGACATTTATGGATACTCCATAGAAAACATCTATGAAAGATATTTTATAGCATCGGTTTACTAGTGAGATCTGTGGTAGCAAGAGGGATGTGATAACCTAGCCCAGGGCTCTAGGCCAAAAAAGATTGTGCATGGTTTTAAATCTTCTCTGATACTTATAATCAATACCATTTTAAGTAAAGTTCATCTCTCCAAGCCTTTCCTTCTTCACATAAGAAACATCCAGTTTATGAAGTCATTGAAAGAATAAGTGAGATAATCTGTGTAGACAGGCATACGCGCTAAAGAACTTAATACATGTTGGTTATTACCAAGGCCTCTATCACATGGGCAGGAACTGCTTGCGCTGCTAGCATTACTTTAAGACAGGCTATTAGAGCTGTGAGTTGTGGGGCTATTGCAATGCTTACATTTGATGCTCTCTCACAAAAGCTGTGAACTCAGGATTGCTGGCATACAGTTCCAAAACCCTCATTCTCTCTCAAATTTCCTTAAACAACAAAAAAGAGGCTACGTGTTGCATTTGAAAAACATCAACACCCTTTTTTAAAGGACTTCTAATTATTATAAGAAATTATAAGTTTCTGAGCTACCTAAGAAAGAACTGTAGGAAAGAATTTCCCTTTTAGCAAAACAGAAGCCTCTATATATAGATATCTAGACTTTATGTGAACTGAGCCTGGTAATATAGCTCAGTGGCAGAGTACCTGCCTAACATGCACAAGGCCTTGGGTTCAATCCCTACTGCTGCCAAAAGGAAGAAAGTATTTCTGGATAGATACCATGTGAAGTATTCTAACATATATTCCTAAGCAAGGAGTGGAGAAAAGACAGTGTTGATTGTGGAGAAAGAAGTCATTGCTTAGGGATTAAGAAGCCCGGCTCAGAGCTGAATACCTTCTACATACCACATCACTGGAAGCTGTCACCAGGCAATAACTATTAAATACTTTTCATCCTCTCTTGAAGCACATGCACATGCACACACATGCACAGACAGACCAGCAATGCAGCAGCAGCAGTAGAAGCCTCCTACCTCTTTGGAAAGGTCACTGCTCTCACACATCTGTCTGATTTCTTCTCTGCTCAGACCACCAATCATCTCTTCACTGGCAGAGATATAGAAGGGATGCTGGCGATAGGGGTCCTCATAGTGCTCACATCTAGCCAAGTGGCTCTCGAATGAAGGGTTGTACTTCACAGCATTCTCAACAGATAACAGGCTGTCAGGCTTCCTGCTAGAGCCACAAGAAGAAATGTATGATTAAGGATCATCTTCAGAAGCTCAACTACGTGAAAGACTATTTTTCTGGGACAAGATTTCTGTTGGGGAAGAAACAGAAAGGAAGTAGACACAGATGTGGGGTTGGAGGAACTATGGGAAATGTCCAGATTAGTCTCAGAATTTGTCAGGTGTCATCGCCGTTCCCTATTTCATTTATGGTATTTTCCCCCACTGCCTGACATGCAAAAATGTTGGCTGGGAACTATGTCTGCCAGTGGATAACATTTCATTATGCAAACACAGATCCATCATTGCCAGAGTTATATCTATGGAAAAAAATCTGTGTGTAACCACATAGAAAATCTGACAAAAACAAAAATATTGGAGGATTGAAGGCTCTAGGCTCCAATTAAATTCAAGTCTTCAAATATTTACTGAGTCAACTGAGTACATGCTGTGGATTTCTCTAGATATTGATACAAAGAATGTGTATTTCCTGAATAAGATCACAGTCTGCTGGAAACTCAGTCAACAGGAATCATAAGAATAGTGGAGGTATGCCTTGGTGCTCTAGGACCCCAGAATTCATGTCTCCCTACCCAGGGAGAGGTGGGGGGAAGGTAGACTGGCCCAAAGTAACTATTGTAGGCTCTAGAAGTGTAGAAAACAATTCCAACCAGAAATTATGATCATAAAACAACTCAAAAGGTTCTTGGATCCTGAGACTAGCAAGTGGACGAGGCTTTATTTCTCCCATTAGTGAAACCACATTCAATTAAACAAAGAACCAGATTTCATTTCTTGTCAGGGCCTTACCCAAATTTATGATCTAATTACAACTGGTACAGCCAAAGAGAAACAAACTAACACATCTGGTCCTCAACAGGGAAATACCTTTTTGTCTCCTGTAAACTAGAAGTTCCTCTGACCACTATGATGACAAGCTACAGTCCCACCTCCTTCCCACACTCTGTGGAAGGAGTCAAGCAGGGCGGACCCCATTACCTCTCCCATCCAATCAGTTGACCTTAGCTGCATGGGGGTGGGGGGTGGGGCTAAAGAGATATATAAGCCAAGAAAGTCACAAGGCAGGTCTCTCACCATTTTGTGTGGCTGTCAGGAAGCCACAGGATTTATGCTCGGGTGTGGACTTTCCAGCACAGCTGTGACTGGGAGGATACCCACTCTTTTATAGGTAAACCAGCACCCCAAGATCACTTAGAAAACCCAATAAACTCATTAGGATTTTCCAAAAGGCAGTTTTGGAGAATTCTTGCCTCAGGTTGTTGTAAGGCCAGTGGGAAGAGGGAACCAGATGCCATGTGCGCCTTCCAGCAGTGAATTTGACTTTACATCTCTTCTCCATCAACCCCGCTCCACACCCTACCCCACAAATGGAGCAATCATTCTGGCCACACTCTTGGTTGCTTCCCTGTAGTGCACCTAGATGTTGACACAGGCCTTTCTGACCTGGCTTGTGTTTACTCACTGGTTGCAAAGGTCCCACCCATTGCCTGCAAATGTCCACTCTTCTGTCCCACTAAATACCAGACTATTAATAAACTTTCAGGACTCCATACCCCAGACAAAACTAACATTCATCGAGGCCTCTCAGCATCTCATTCACTGGGCTACTTATGTTTCTTTCTAATGTGACACCAGTCTGAAACTGGACCATGTTTTCATTGACTTTACAGCTTTCTGCCCTCTATCCAGCTCTCTGTCCAATATTTGGTACATAGTAAGTACTAAATGAATGAGTAAACAGAGCATTTGGGTCCATCAGAGAGCTTTCCTTATTTACCTGGTAGGCCTCTCTCCTTCTCTCCTGTCATTCTGAGTTTGAAGTGTCTTCACAAGGAAGATGACCGCAGACGAGACGAGGAGAAGGCTAATCACTGAGACTATGGTGATGCCAATGACAAAGGGCTCAGACACAAACTCCTCACAGTGCTCACCTCGGTACCACCAGTTCGCACCTACCGGGCACCTGTAAGAACAGTCACCAAACTCAAGATCTGAATCACTCTTCTGAAAGTGACAGTAAACAGAACCTCCAATGGAATGGGAAAAACAGGGATATAAATGTTGATCATAGGAAGTTTCATTAAAAACTTGAAGAGAGGTCTTGGGATTTAGCTCAGTAGTAGAATATTTGCCTAGCACACATATTTCCAGCATAGCAAAAAAGGAAAAGGCCTTGATATACAAATTAAATGAGTATATGATGGAAAATGGCGCATGACACCTGGCACCGACCAAGTAGATTCTAAATGACTGTTTTCAAACCATTGAATAAAGAAATTATCCCATTCAAATTCCTCATGTACGGATAACAAAAACATAGGCCCAAGAAGAAAGGTAGCTGTCATTAGGTCACAGTTGGCAACAGAGTTTCTAAAACCCAGCTTTCCATACATCACAGGTCATTTCACCTCCCTAAGAAATCCTCAAAACCCTGAGGCCACAGACTGGTGCAAAAACATCTTCAATCACCACAGTGGCAAGGAAGTTACTGCTTTGCAAAATAATATTAGTTTCTCTGGATACCAAGAAACTGCTACTGCCCTTAGCTTTGTAATTAAACTTTACTTTTTTGCATAAAAACATCTGAGTAATTTCCAGCTATTTTCTGTGTCAGGAATCTGTGCTGACATTTACCCCTTTTTATATTTCTGACTTGTCCTTATTTGTGCTCCTCCTGCTTATTTTCAGCATTCCCGCACCCCCTTCTAGCCATGCAGTTGTGGTTGTATGTGGCTGGGAAGTTAGCAAGCTTGGTTTTTTGGTTCTGGGTTTTATTTCTTTGAGGGGAGTGGTTAGGGAAGGGTAGTCAGGCTAACTGACTTTGTGCACCTGAAGCAATCTCATTTGTTCTGCCTTTACAAAATGGATATCAGATAGACTTAGAGTAAAACATATTTGCTATTACTTTGAACACTTTACTACTTATTTTACTTTATTTTTTAATACTTGTGGGCTGGATAGCTTCTGTTGTCAACTTAACACACCTGGGTTGAGGGGACCTCAACTGAGAAATTTCCTCCACTGGTTTGGCCTGTGGCTATGTCTGTGAGGCATTTTCTTGATTGCTGAGTAATATGGGTACCACCCCTGGGCAGGCGGTCCTGTGTTGTATAAGAAAACATGCTGAGCAGAGGCCAGAGGAACAATCCAGTAAGTAGTATACCTCCATGGTCTGTGCTCCAAGTTCCTGCTCTGAGTTCTTACCTTGGCTTCCCTTGATGATGGACTATGTGTGAGCTGTAAAAAAGATAAACCCTTTCTTCCCCAAGTTGGTTTTGGGCAGTGTTTATATCGTAGAAATAGAAAGTAACTAGAACAACTTGGTATGATACAAGGAGCTCAAGGTTATTAAGAATAAAAGCCAAGCAGGACAGAATAGCCCTCCATTTTCACTTTTAGAGATAAAGTACAGATCTCATATCTAAGTATCATTTGAATATGAATGGTTTTAGCATCATCATTGAAAACAACATACAAAAGTCTCCAGTCAATTCTAGTGCTCTCAGTAGCACATATTTAGAAGAGTTTACAGCTCTCCCACAGCAGGAAATAACCACTTGAACTGGGTATGTAATTCAGGTCTATTAAATGGCCAGTCTTCACATGAGAATTTGACAGTATCCATTGACTTGCCTAGATGTAGTAAACATTATACTGATTGTCCTAAAACTATACAGTCAACCCATCTTCTCAGAGAAAGTATGTATAAACTTTAAGGCCAAAGATCTCTAATTATAACATACCTACAAATGGCCCCATGCCCTGGCATAATGTCACACTTTCCATCATTCAAGCAGAAGTCAGGTTGTAGGTCACAGAGACTTTGACAAGGCAGTTCATCCACACTCAGGTACCCAGGGTAACATCTGCACTTTGCTTCTCCACCCCAGGGATTCACCAAACACTCGGAAAATTCATTGCAGGCCTGAAACTTGCAAGGGTTGGCATCATCGCCTAAAACATCAAACAAAGCAGACAATGATACAAGGAAAGACAAAGCATGGGAATTGGGATACATGACACCACACCTCTCAGTTAAACTCCTCCCTCAAAGCACCATGGGACAACCTCCAGCCTGAATCATGAAATATAGCACCACCTGACTGTTACTACAAAAAAATTCCTGATTCATTGCAAATTGGTCAGTTTGCTTCAGATTTCCCTGAAACCAGAGCCAAATCATAAAAGCCTATGGTCTGGGCAAAATTCTACATGTTCTACCTAGGGCATATTAACTTTAAAGTCAATACCAGATAACTGAAGATCTAAGTTAAACACCATTTTCATATGTCTTTCATTTCAACCAACCCAATCCAGCTATAACATACACACTACTGTGTGCCTACCCATGCAGAAAGCGTGGGATGAGAAGGAAACCCAGAAAAAAACTGTAGGAGCCTCAGGGATAGGAATAACCTAATAGAGGTAGCCTTGGAGACAATCTAGATTTGTGGAAGTCAATGTCCTCCTCAGGTCATTGTGAACAATATTTTGTCTTCAGTACCTTACTGTGGTACTGACGAGGTAAGAGAAAATGACAAAGAATTAATTAGGACAACAAGAGTCAAAATTGATATATGACATTGACTACAGGGAGGTCAACCACAGCTCCACCAGGTGCTCTTTCCCAGTGAATAACAAACTGTGAATGCCAAATGGGTAAATGGTAACAGAGATGTTGAAAACAACTAAGAGCTGGAAATGATCATAGACTTGTCTGAATGAGAAAGTGCAGACTGTAGCTAGAAAGCAAAGAAAAATAAAAAATAAAAAAATAAAAGCATAGTCTCATCATTTCCAGAGAAATCAATATTCTTTGAAAAATCCATTATTTTTCCCTGTTATAAAGCCTAATATGATTATGCCTAAGATTGTGCAAGGCCTTTAGAGGATCTCTAAATCCGATCCCTTTTGACCTCATGTGGGAATAGGAGAATGTATTAAGTTAAATAGTGTTTCCTAAATGTTTATACCCACCCAGACCCTCAGAATGTGACAGTACATGAAAACAGAGGCTTTGTAGGTATAATCAACTTTAGAAGAGGTCATACTGGATTGGGATGGGCCATTAATGGCTAATATCCTTATAAGAAGAGGGACGTTGGACACAGAGACACAGACAAACAATAAAGAAGGCCACATTTGAACCAAGGCAGGGACTGAAGTGACAAGCCAACGAATGTCAAAGATTGCCAGGAAAAAAAAAAAAAAGCAACTAAGAAAAGGTAAAGGAGGATCTTTCCTAGAACTTGCAGAGGGAGCATGGCTCTGCCAACACTTTGACTTTAGACTTCTAGCCTCAACAACTTTTTTAAAATTTATTTTCATTTTATGTTTATGAGTGTTATGCCCGCGTGTATGTAAGTACACCTGTGCCACGCAGTGCCCATGGAAGACAAAAGAGGGCATTAGATACCATGGCACTGGAGTTACGGATGATTGTTAGCTGCCATGTGGGTTGCTGGGATTCAGATCTTCTGCAAGAAGAGCCCGTGCTCTTAACCACTGAGCCATCTCTCCATCCCCTAGCCTCAATAACTTTGAAAAGAGAAATTTCTTTTGCCATGAGCTACCTAATTTATGATAACTTGTTAAATCAGCCTTGGGAAACCAATATAAGGGAACACTGCCAAGAAAAGATAATCGTATAAAAAGGGGCACAAACCAATGTGCCAACAGACGTGCAGCTTCTATAAGGGAACTGCATGGCAGGGATCCACTGTATATTCCCTACATCTTTGTGTATTCCCTAGTAATCATTTTATGATTTTGAAACTGTATACAGTCCCTTTATTAACGAAAGCACAATTTTCTGAGATACAAAAAAAAGTTAAGTAAAATACAAGCTTTGTTTGCCTTAGCTAATATTGACATAAAATAATAATCTAATCACTTAAAGTATACATGTAGTAGAAACACTCTAGTGGAATTTTAACTTTGTGGTCACTCTGTGAGTATGAGTAGGAAGGAAAGAAACAGAATCTCTTTTCTATAGATTATGAAAAGATAATTATATAGGAAAAAGTAAAATGCTATTCCCTTTTGCTTCCAGAAACTAAGCCATAGATATATAA